GTTGATAATAAGATTCCCTTTAAACGCCTCCCACTTTACCTCGAGTTCTCGCAAACGGCGACGTCTTTTAGAACGACGTTTCCAAAGTGCTCCAACTCGCGATCGTCACTTTTTTCTTAAGGATTCATCTCGAGCGTTCGACAAAGCGATAAATCGCGAATGCGAGCGGGCGAAAGTTTTACGTCGTATCTTTGCCGAAGTTCGCCATGAAAATTTACAGCTACCCTGTCTCGAACCAACTTGTTCGACTCTTCGACATCGATTCGACTTCGTCGTTTACGTCGGTGACGATCGACGTTACTTCGCTTCGAGAATCTTGATGTCGAGAGAGTCTAAAAGATATATTTCTCGTAAACTGAAATTATTCTTTTATTCGAATAAAGCGTGTGAGGTTCGCGTAAACTTGGCTGGTGAAAAGATTTATACGGCCAGCGAATTTCAGCGACAACTAGAAAACGTGTTTGACGAGCTTAGCGTCATAGAAACTGATTTTTCCTGCACTTGCATTATTGAAGCGTCGTGGAGCGTAGTCCGGAGAATTCCCGTAGGACATTTAACTTTTCAAACTAGCAACTTCGCCGAGATAGCGGATGAAATCGGTAGAGATGTTTGTTTCCGCTCGCATTGCTCGATGTATCGACATTCGACCGCAAAACTTGTTTCGCGGTAAGTGGTCGGGAGTACATTATTCTCGCCAGACGAAGTGAAAAATCGTAGCTACGGTCAGAAACGTGCTGCGTTATGGTCTCTCGAGTACAGTTGTGAACTGATTCGCTCTTTCTGCCTGCTATACAAAATATCTCGAAACTACCAGTATGTATTTCGATGACAACTGTATCATGTTCGCGTGCGGAGATGACTTTTCTCTAACAAAAATTTCATGGAAAGCTATTATGTTGCAATTCTTTGCACCAAATACTAATAGATACTTTATCAAAGTAAAACCAGAATTGAATTTAATTTTAAACATAATTTTATTATCTGTTTTTAATTTTGAAGCTCTGTTCGTCAGTGTTTCACGATAAAATAACTAACTGATGTATTTTAATATCGCAAATATTTGACATTTTTCTTAGCTTGATCTTTCATTGAAATATATTCTGGTGGTTTTGAGATACCTTGTATGTACACTTCAGACATATTCTATTTATACACGCGTCTTATCCAAATTCGCCCGTTGTTGTGCGTTTAGACATGTCATTATTAATTGTATATAATATAATAAGTATAATATTATTAATCTGAGTTTCTAGGCAGTTGTGTGTTTATGTTATACACGTTAAGGTTTATATAGCTAAGATTTCTCTTTCTCTTCTCATCGCGCTGACTTTTTCTCTTTCTGCCTCTTTTTCCGATTTTCCTCCGGTCACATCATCTTAAAAAAAATTAATTCTACGCACGTGTAGTTGACCGCCCTACTTGTTAGATTTTACAAAATGAACACGTTGATCTATCGGGAGAATAATGATCGAGCTGTTCGAGAAAAGAACGTTTATGTTCGTATTTCTCTTTTTTTCTGTTTTTTATCAACTGGATTTTTTTATATTGCAAGTAATGGCGTAAACGTAAGCTGTAACGTTATTACGAAGAAAATGAAAGTCGAGAATTACAGATTGTCGAAACGATACGAGGCACGGGATATATTGATAAAATTCTACAAATAATTGACATTATTCGGATACGATTCTCGCGTCCTCCTTCTCGAAGCGCTCGAAATTATTCCAGTTTTTGACAATATGTCTTCTCTCTCTTTCTCTCGTCTTGCTCACATGTGTTGCTCACTCATACACACTCAAAATGATTATCTAGGTTCTTCCCGCGATTCGAGTCGGTTTTTTTAAATATTTATCTCGGCGTTTGTTCGCGTCTTCACGCGAAGAAAGGATCTCGTAAATTATTTATAAAGAATAATATGAGGACCGCGTTCATCTTTAAACGCAGTTCAATTATTAGGGTTTACATTACGGAAACGGAGTTTACACTATGGAAAGAACGGTATGTATGTGTCTTTCTGACGTCCTAATCGGTGGTATTGAGCAAAGTGCCATAATTACGTACTCGTTAGACTTACTCCATACGAATTAGAAATTATGCGTATCCTCCTATTGGTCGTTTATGCTACTTAACAGTAGACTATCTGGCGGTTACTTGCGTTATTGCTGCTAAGATGTATGTAAAAGGGAGCTGCATTTCGCTATGGTTATCGATTAATCGTAAACTTCTTTTTTTTTTGTCATTTTGAATTTTCATTGTATTTGCTAGATCTCTCGGAGTAAATGCATGCTGATAGCTGTTTATTTCAAGGGAAAAAGGAATTTGCGTTTCTTGCTAAATCGAAATTCGAATGTTGCCGTGGGAAATATAGCCAACGATATATCTTTGCGGATTAATAATTGAGTCCTTTAAACTCATGTTTCTTTTTCACGTTGCAAAAGCAAATATGTTTTTTCTCGTCAAAAGCCTAGTTTTTTGACAGTTTGTGCGGACGAAGATCTCGTCGTTCGTGAAATAGCCGCCGCGAGTCGTCGAAGGCATCGATTGTTTTTACAAACATGTATATTCTTTCACGTTACAAGAGTGTTTAGTACATATTTAAATGTTTCTCGCAAATGTACGAGATAGATACCGTGCTATGTTTCTCGTCGTCTTTGTTATGGATCAATTTTTTGATGCCGTTACCACATTCAATGCAATATTATAAAGTCATAATCGGAAAATCTCGGCGTATTGACGAATGCGCACACTTCTCGCAATTCGTTTGGTTAAGGCGGTACAATGGTTAATTGAACTATAGATAATCATGATGTACGTATAGGAGATATTTATCAAAATTCTTTTAGCAAACTATGCTGTTGTAAAATTATATATGTATATATATAATCATGGCAATTTAAAGTAGTATTAAAATTTTAGAAATAACTTTTCTGGTACTATTATTAATTATTTATAATGTTATTAATATTTTCTTCCAATTCTTTTTATATTCTGCAAAAAAGAAATATGAAGCAGAAATCTTTTGCAAGATTTTTACTATACTAGCAATCTTTCTTTACGCGGTTGCATGCAGATATTTATAGAACCATGATTAGTATATATATAACAAAATACGAAATTAAAAATTAGATATACTACGAATATTTATATAAACTAAGGGTTCAATGAATCGTTTTATTTTCCTGAGGTTCTGAATACATCCTTCAAATATCGCCTATCACTTGTTATTGAAAGGTTATACGAGAGAAAGTCACAAAGTAAATGAACATTTTCTGATTCGGAAATTGAAAAAGTTCCTTTATATTGACTTTCCCTTGTAAGAAGCAATCTATATGTAACTAAAACCATTATTATATCGCTTTAATGAATCGCTGAGCGTAACGCACCCATACCTTCGATTCGCAATAATCGTACGATACATTATCTCCCTTCAGCGCCTCGATTTTTTTTTAGATGGAAGCACGAAAGTTTCACGAGGCCCGCGGAAAATATCACAGCTCTGAGGGAAGTCACGAAACTATCCGCGACGCGTTTAAGAGTTTGTTGGTCGTATAGTTATTTTGAAAGTGGCGTGGGTCCAAGTTTGACACACCTTAAATTCTAGAATATAAATTCTTGCAATGTACTTTCGCAAGTTCTACTTTTGAAAATTATTATACGCCACTTTCAGAATAAACAGCCTGCGTAGCGATAACTTTCGAAGGATATAGGTCGCGTTACGTGTTGTATATGATTTGTCAAATCAACATTTTGTTTTCGAAGCACTTGTGGCTATAACAATTACGTAGGACGATTCAGGACGACATTTTGTGCAATCAGTGCAGTAAGATGATGAAATTCAAACAAAATTATGCGCATTCTGCAATCCATTATACTCTGGAATGTTTGTCAGATATGTGAAAATATTTTGATATCAAATCATTCGTAAAACCGAGAGAGAAATTAAAAATTAAACTGTTGCAACCGGCAAATTATCAACTAAAAATTGATTGTTGCATCTTTGCTATGAAATTGAGGGTAACGTCATAATGAGCCAAGGTTTTCGTCAAGGTTCAACGTGGCTTGGCAGTGTTTAATATCTGCAACGAGTCGACTCGCATATTACGTAAGCATCTGTAATCATAACCAAGCGGCATGAAATAATATGGTAGCATCCATGAAATAATAAGCTGCGTGTTCAATAGATTTTTAGAATAGTTGACATATTTTGGTGACTCAATTGAATTTCTCTACGTATAGCATGTAATGTCTTAATATTTTTATCTTTTTTTGAATATATTTATCTTTTATTTTTTATAAAGTATACTAAGTCAATTTTTAAAAGAGAAGAAAAATGGCATCGACTCGTAGTTCGCGCGAAAATTCGATTCGTTGCGCTGTTAATTACAGAAGCCGTAAAGCAAAGTATTTTCTTTTTTTTTTATTGACACATGGGAGCTATTTTCGAAGTTTTAATTAATCACTAGAAATTTAGTATCTTTCTCACACTCTCAATTTTCTTTTGGAGATTTCATTAAATTTGCACATCATAAGCGCACTTTGACATTTACAAAGCACATTTCGAAACTACACTGACAAACACCATCAGTGATGGATTCATTAACGAATTTGGAGTCATATCTCCTTAAAAACTATCGAAATATTAATAACTTCTCAATTATAAGTAATTAGATATGAGTAATCTCTCGTATATTATCTTTAAAGGGTACAAATACATAACGAAATCTTATCTTATGTTTAATTTTAAGTGAACTTTAAGCAAAGTTTTTATTTAATGTTTACTTATCAAGTTAGTTAATGTTGCAAATTGAAAAAGTGTAGCAAATTTTTTATTTAACTATGTTTCCAAGGAAAGATTAACTGCAAAGAATTTAGATATATAAGTTTGCTGTGGAGAGTTTAGAAAAACTATATATATTTTATTTTAATGAGCAGATTGATATAGTAAAATACGAAAAAGTATAAGATTGATAAAATCTTTTTGGAAATATGATTGCGTCTAAAAGAGAAATGTATAAGCATGAATGAAAATAAGTTTGTTTGTATAGAAAACGTAGGTAGTACAAATACTTAATTTGAATTTTACACTATAATGATTGCGATTTTTGTGAGATGAGAATGAGTCCAAATATCCGGAACGGTTTCTTTTAAATACAATAGTATTATTAATTTATCTAAAAATGATAAAAACTTAGCTATTCTCTTTGATTGGTGTATGACAGTGATGTTTACGTTCGTTCTCCAATCGAAGTATAAAGAACGGTATAAGTGTAAGTGCCTGAGATGATAATTGTGCTGCATTCGAACGTGTATTTCGGCTTTCGTTTTAATTCATTAATTTGTTTAAAACGCGAGAAATTGTGTAGGATTAATCACCTATATTTGTCACGTACAATCTGTCCATAGTCTTGCACATTTAACGCTAAATGTGACTGTCTGGTTCTGTATTTTATTAATTTAACATATGAATTTCGTATCGATATTAAACATGATATGAGAATCAGACGGCCAAAGTTGGTATTAAATGTGCGCTGACAACGTGAGTCTTTATCTTTTCGTAGAAAGTCTTTTTCGAGGATCCTTCCAATCTTTGCGATTAACCAAACAATTTGAATAATGCATCTTTGTGAATTTATTTTGACGGATCGAAAATTGCAGCTTATAAAATAAAAATTATGAAGCTGCGATACTTTCAAACTTTCGTGTTTTCTGATTATCACTTATTTAAGTTAGAATATTCGGCGTGCACACGACGTATCTAAAACGTGTGCTGGTATACTGCTCGTAATGCGAATTGCAAAATAATGATTAAGTATTTAGATATGTTAAGTTCAAAGTCTGGACGGAAATGTCTGACAAATGATCGTAAAATTATGCCGAATAATTTGCAAGGAAAAAAATGTTAGAAACTGTCGTTAATCTTTCTTTAACGTTGTGACATTGCTAATTCTTGTATTACAAAATTAAGTGACGTTTATGAGAGGAGAATAATTGTGTCTGAAACAATTTGTTATCGCAAACAGCGTCGATCCTAAGATTTTCTTGCAAGCGGTGTCGTAGACAAACGGACTTGTCGCAAAGGTGTTTCCGAAGGATCCTCGACGCTATTAAGTTTCGAAAGGACCGTTCGCATTCCCGTGCTGAATCTTCGTCTGTCGTTAAGGCGCGACATAGTTCCTGAAGTAGAAGTAATCGGCAGTTCTTTCGGTGTGGATTGGTTGGTCATTTCCGTTGGAGATATCCGTGGAGCCTTTTGCAAAATGATCCTTTGGCGATTCGGGGCACGCGTTTTCACAGGCTCCAGTAATATTGCGATACCCGTAGGATCTTCGGCGATCGCGCAAAATCGGGGAATCTTGGCACGAGTGTCCTCAAAGAGGATCAAGACGCGCCGTAGACGCAGGCCGAGCTGTCCGGTGGACTGATCTTTTCCACAGGTAACACCGCCGCTCTGTGCCACTCGTCGCGTACCTGTTATCGAAAAAGATAGTAATCGTACTTTGTGGCAAGGTAGAATTCTGCTGACATTCTAAAATAAGAGACGGGATTAAGCGCGAATAAATAAAATTGCGACGCAAATGTTTGATCCGAATGAATCCACTTGTTAGAGATTTGTAAAAGGTAAAAGTTAAATAGCAAAATAAATTTTCAGCGCATTTTCTACTTTTTTAAAACAAATATTAAATTTTGGTATTCTTCAGAAATAAGCTCTGCTTTTAAGAATTTTATTAATTGTTTGTTATTTCTCTTTTTTGTTATTTTAATTTTTTACGTTATTTAAAATTATCTGTATTCCGCGTAAAAAGAATTTCAGCAACAAATTCGCGAAAACAGGAGCAACGAGTTGTAATGCGTACAATTAGCTTAGCGTGTGTGTAACAAAGAGTGATAAAACTTTAAGCGTCCAATAGCAATAAATTTAACGCGCGCGCGATTAATCGTAGTCAGATATCCGGAATTACGAGTCGCGTTAGAGCTTGTCGTCGCGTAGGATCATGTGTTTTATTCGAGTAAGCAACTTAAACGCTTTTCGTTTACAACTGCCGTAAATGGTAATCGTAAAAACAGTAGCTCTGCATTTCGAAATGTACCTGCTCAACTTTTGCGAATACCCTCAGTAAATTGAGGCCGGCTAGTTTCTTGATGTCCTCCTCTGTCCACGTAGGATCCTCTAGTAGGGTAGCCAACAATTGCGGATACCTCGAAACATCCTCTAAGCCCGTGGGAGTGCTACAAAGGGGACAAATCTCGTGAGGGTTTAAACAATCCTAACTTTGCGAATTTGAATTGACATTCAGAGAACGATGATGAGTTCACGCGATTGCTGCGTCTGACGCGTTATCTTTTTATTTTTGCAAGAATACTAACTATGTTATATAATCGAACAATTGATTTGTTTATTTTGAAAATGGTGTGAGTTACATTTTTAGTTAAATCAAGAGTTAATATTTAATGGTATAAAACAAATTTTCGATATTTCTAGCTTACGTATTGCATTCTCAATCGAGATGCTTTCACGTATTATTGCAAATATACACAAGTATTCGCGACCAGTATTCTAATCAATCTAATTATTCCTGTAATTAAGCACCAAACTTAAGTATTAAAATGTTGACTTGGTATAATTAGTTTGCTGTACAGCGAAATTAAATCAAGCATTATACAATGTAAGTTTAAACATCGTTATAAAACCTGTGCCTTTAATAATGTATTTAGATGCTTTTATGGCAATATTTCGCTAATATAAATGTAAATTATACTTTTTATTGTGTCTAATGTAATAAAGTATTACAAACCACATTAAACTTTAAATTAGAGTAAGTTTTGAAAGGAGTGTCATGATAAAAAAAAATCACGGAAAATTACGTTAACAACGATATATTTCACTATGCATTACGAGAACTATCAGAGGTACTCTGTGAAAGTTTCATGGCTGTGAGGAACAAAAGCAGTTCCTTCGGCATTGTTTCTTGCACCCCCCGTAAAATTAACCTCCCGGGACTCATACCCTTTTCAAAACAAGCGAAGCAATTACACTGAGTGTTGTAAAAGTGGAACTGCTCAAGTGGGTTAAATACATATTTACGCGAAGGTACAGAATTCATTGAGATTTGCATCATTTGGCGAGATTAATCGCGTAAATGTTATCGAACTCGGCTAAATTAATTAAATGACAGTGCAGTCTCTCAGAATGTCTCTGCCTCTCGCGTGAAAATAGCGAAAATATAATTACAAATTTATCCCGTCGAAACCCGCTCCGATCCCGACGTGATCGATCCCCGCCACCTTTCGAATATGATTGATGTGCGCTGAAACAGTATATGGCTTTAATCATTTCGTCGTAGTATGCGGCGGCGTCAAAAATATTTTATTATAAATATTTACATGCATGCGCTGGGTTTTTCTTTTTTTTTTGTACCCGTGGGACTGAAATGTGACTAGGGAATAAAGCGGTTATGAGGTAGCGCGCTTATGAGATTGTCATGCATGCATGGGTAAGATAAAATATGTTGTTATTATCATGACAATGAACTTCTTAAATATTTGCGAGCATTAAAATGGAAGCAAATATATATTCCCGGATGAGCAAGATAAATTGGTAATTTTTGCAAAATTAAAATAGAGGTCTTCCGCGTTTGAGGAATATTGAACGAATTTATTTTTAAGAGTTTGTAAAAAATGAAATTTGTAACGGGAGAAGTCTTTTGATGCAAAATACGATAAGTATGGTAATTGCGTTTGTCGCATGCAATATCGATATGGTACAATTCGTTCACAAAGCTTAATACAGCACCACGTATAGCGTTGTACGTACCAATAACGTCTTTTATGGTAGCGGTGCTGTTGCATGTTATGAAGTAGGTATAAAAAGGGACCATCGCCACTCCGCCATTCTTTGCCTGCGAACAGATGCATTAAATCATACACGTGGCGATCGTATTTTTCTCGACACTTAAACCAATGATATGAAAATATTATAGTGACATTGTGCATTTGCAGTAAAGTCAAACTGTAAATTATTTTGACTACTAAAGTATATTCGTGAATATAATGCTATAAATAAATATTATTCGAAATAGCATCTTAGAAAATTAAAAACTATAAGTATATAATTATTACAATAGATACTGTCAAAAGAACAATTTAAAAATATGAGGAGCGCTAATTTTTATTTCATCAATTTATTTTTCTTACCACCACTTTTAAGGGATGCTATCGAGAAAATTATTTCAAAGAACACAGTTATCTATTCCATACCCAATCTCGCTTAAACATGGGCAATGTTAATTAGAGCAGCAGGACAGCGCGCGGTTAATAATACGTTACCGGACAAGCCATCCGGCTTAGATCGCTGTTACTCATCCTCTCGTTCTGCGAGTATAATTAAGGGAATATTGATCGTCTGCGGAAGTAAAGTTCGGAGATGTTAGAATGACTTTAAGAAGTCGCGGAAAACGTTGGTTAATTAATTAATAACTTCCTTTTTTCTTGGAAGCAATTAACCATTTTTTACGCGTATTATCTTATTAGTTGGTGTGTTTCAAAAACGAAGAAAATTTGTGAAAGATATAATTTTTTAAGAACAAGTTAATTATTATTTTATTTGAATTGTTTTTGTAATTAAATATATACATTTCTCTAAAACATTATCATGATGGAGAATAATGGTTCCATGAATAAATGAAATATTTTTTAAATAATTTATATTATTTGAGAAAATCATATCTGTTAAAAAGCAAGTCAGAATCCTTTTAATAGATTATAAATTTACACGAAATGTTCCAAGTGCCGAGTTAATTGATAATAAGATGAATTTAATTTCTCTAACTTAGAACTTTGCAAGAGCTCATCGTCAGTTCGTCAATCGTTAATTGACGGGCGAGAATATGGCATGGGAATGGAATGAAATTTTAATGAAGCGTCGCGTTTAAGTCCTCGCTCGGCCAACTGTTACGCGATTAATGAGACGTCAATTATTATACCGCGTTTATGCTTCCCGCGAATTTAATTGTCGAGGAAAAATTTCGGTGCTGGTTGAGAGGACGAGATTAGCGCCAATTGGATTAGCGCCAACCGCTGGTTGGTGGGTAGGTGTGCAGAATTACCGATAATAACACGGATTAAGCTCCAAACTTCTAACACACACTCGCGCTATTTTGGCGCGTTGTTTCCGGATGCCGCGCTACTCGGAATCGTTTTGACATATCTCCTACGAACCACGTTCCGTCGATTGCGAATAGTTCGCTATTATCTCATTATTTGAACTCGAACAATTCGCACGCTCGATACTTTGTGTGTTTGCTAATATAGATCCCGCGTTCTTGCACGCTCGCACCGAATCCGTGCGCATTTTACAACTTCGTGGATTACAAACTACTCTCCTATCGCGTTCGATTTGCACGCGGCTGGCTTCGCTTCGCTTGTACTCTACAAATTTAATTTCGACGTTACGCATCTCACTTCCAGATATCAGACCTGTCGATAAAACTTGCGTTTAATCACCGGCACAGCTCGTACTACTTTCGTTTTGCATTCGCATTTTTTTTTATTTTCCTTTTCATACACTCGAAAGATTATAAAAAATAATTCGACAATATATATTTTGGCATGTATGTTCTTATATTTTCATGAACTTTATTATATTATACTTTATACAATATTATATATACTTTTATTTTTTTATTATAACTTTTTAACCGTAATTTTCATTAATTAATTAGTTCAAAATTAATTATAGTATAATTTCAGTAAATTTTTATTAAAGCTTTTTTGTGCCGTAAACAGTATTCGTAAATGTATCTCTTATGTTGTCAATTTTTTTATTTATTCTGTTTTTCAAATATGCGTATAATGTATCGCGATTTTGCGGTCAGTTGTCGCACGCTCATACCAACTCGTCGCAACCGAGATTCATCGACATGATTAGTTTGCGGTACAAATAAATATCAATCCGGAATCAAATAATTCGCCGTGGTTGAACCGCGACGCGCGTAACAAAGGCTTCCACCGTGGCGGTGAGAAACTTTTATGCGCGCCGATTTAAATATTTTTGAGAACGTACGAGCGCGCTTTGATTTCTGTATCCCATCGTTTGTAGCTCGTAACAGAGAAATATTCATTCGTTTCCCGTGCGCGAGTGCTCGTATACTCTGTAGTGTTTTCTAACTGACCGGCGCGCGCGCTACCGAGAGACTCGAATAAATAAATAAATAAATCCGCCTGCATATTGCAGCCGACGTAACGCTTTTTCGCGACGGCATGTTACGCTTGGCGGGTTACCTATTTCTGCGGAAAGTGCGTGATGCAGCAATAGCAGCAGCAGCAGCAGTAGCACAACGAAGTAACCGAACCCTCAATTCGTTTTTCTCTTTTCTTTTTTTTTTCTTGTATGTGTACTCGGCCGATTGCATTTCACATATTCCTGCCTACGCGACGTGGAAAACTCACCAGATTTCTGAGCACGTCGTCCGGCACGTTTCTAGTAGAATTGCATAGCGCCCTGGCAGCGCTGTGCGAGAAGATCACCGGCGCCCTCGTCGTCTGCAGGGCCGCCCTCATCGTTCTTGTTGAGACATGCGAGAGGTCGACCAGCATGCCCAACCTGTTCAATTCCCTGACAACTGCCTGTAAAATAATGAAGCGCGTTAGAGTCTATCTTATATAAACAAATAGACGAGTTATAACGTGAAACTAGATTTAACTGAATTGAAGGGATTAAATCTACGCTGTTATATTAAATCGTGTAATTTCTCTGTGAAAGCTAAACTACAATCCAGATAAAAGCTAACGTAGGAAACTAAAACCAAAAATAAATGAACAAAGTTGGGAAAAATGTTAGCGTTTTAAAATTTAGTCGATACTTTTTCTATTCATTGTTGCATTTTAGATATCGGTTCCTTTCTAAAAGGATAATGATATTAAAGTATTCAATAACGAAAGTATAGTATCGAAACGATCGAAGTATCATAAGCATCTGTTAAGACTGGGGTGATTAAACTGGAATGCCGGATAAGGCAATGGGTCTGGGACGAGGTGCCTCTATTATGACACAAAAACACATAGAAGGGGATCGATCGGTAAGGATGAGAGAAAAATAGCATGAGAAACGAAGGAAACGTCGGCGTTTCAGCTAGCGAACATTAGTCGGGAATGCAAGCAACCGCCCATTCCATCATACGATGGCGGAAAAAAGCTTTCGACGTATTGGCGGTAGGTCGATGCGCAGGGTCGAGCTCGGTATATTTGCGGCCTTCTGCTTCGATAAACTTAATCTTTACTTGAACTGTTTATCTTGAAAATGGAGTAAATCTAACTTTGAAACATTGCGAGTTTCAGCGTATAAATCGATGCATGGATTCCGGTCAGTTTTTCGTATTTTGACCTATCACTTGTGACTAATCACCGAATTATTTAATTAGCTTAGTGTAGACTTGCCGAAAATAACAGCCAACTGGCAAGATATGGAAAAATTGATTATTTCTTTTCGTTATTTTGTGTATTTTTACTTTTCGGCTCTTTAATTAGAATAATTCTAATTAATTGTACGAAAAAAGAGATTCGTGGCCACGGGAGAACCCGCTGGTATAAAATTGCTGAATATCGTTAATTGAAAAATGATAATTTTTTGTTGATATTTCTTATTATTTAATATTTAATCAAGAATTTTACAGATCACGGGTTGTTCGTATGTTCCTATAAATTTTCTACAAGAATCGCGGGCAAATTTCGATAAAGACAGCCCTGTCGACGCGAGCGGAAAAGGAAACTGAGGGAGGTGGGTGGAAGAACGAATCACAATGGTCTCGTTTTTCCGGCTTTAAGGGTGAGGGTATATGTAGCTCGCTTTTCTCGGCGCGCACGATTTCATCCGAATGATGCAAGTCTCGTGCGTCGATGGCAGAAACGACGCGCATTGTTTTTGCGGTGAGAGACGTTCTGATGCGCGTCGTTTCAGTGAGACGAACGATTACGTGACGCAGGACGATTTCTTATTAACAGCATTAACAAATCAACAGGGGAAAAACGTCGCTCGCATGCAAAGTACAACAGAAACGTATAAATTATCAAATTAAATCGTTGACAGTTAAAATCAACAGGTAAACAGCTGCGAAACTTTATCGTACAAAGAGTTTTTAGAAAAGTTATTAGAAGAAATTAGTGAAGGATATTATTTGATTCCCGTTTATAAGTAATACTCGTTATAATCTCTCGATTAATCGCTTAGCTGTATGAATTTTTTAAATTAATTGCATCGTATATTGCCAATATCACGTTCAGTATTACGTGCCAATTCTTGCGAGAATCAAAAAAGGGAAATCGATTTCACAGTTATCCGTATTCCGGAGCGGGCGAAACGGTGAATTTTCGCATGTAATCCGATGCCTGTTGCTGGGGATATCGGATGCGACGAGACTAGGCGAAACTAATCGTCACATCCAAAAGCCGCAATAAAATCAAGCCCGCGTTGAAACTGTGACAAATATAACGCCGCGAGCCATCGCCATAATTCCGCGATACATCACCGCGTCACTTTAACGGTGATTCAGAATGCCTGCGTGCGTGCGTGCTTGCGTGCGTGACGTGCGCGCTCGTGTCATACTCGCGCACCTGGTGAACGGCGCCGGAAAATATGGGTCGTTCAATAGAAATAACAGGCCAAAGGAACAAGGGGGTAAAGAGCAAAAACGTCCGTCGAATTGCAGTGTTTGTGCACTAACACACGCACATCTGGCGAACTCACTTCGCTCGGATGTACGCCTGTCCATTACCGGAAATGCATGTCGGTATTTACAACGACGGGAGTCGTGTTATGGAGCGCACCGAATTGTATGAACACGAAGAATTTTCAGATAATTCCGTTTGTCTTTCCGAACGAGCCGTAGCGTCGCGACATTTCCCTTTGAAACGGCATGCAAAATGCGTTTCCCCCAAAACATATCACTGAATACAAACAGACACTTTCGATATACACTTGGATATTGATGTATAGATATACCGTACGTAAGAAATAGTAAGTTGTATCGATATTGCTTTCAATTCTGACCAATTGTTAACATTTTTTATGCGCTTTAATTTTCATCTTATCATGTTTCACACGCAACTGCAAAGGTTTGCTTTTTTTTTATTTCGGATGTAACACGAGAGCAAAAGGTCTTCTTCAAATCATTCGGTTTTTGTTTAAAAGCAGACTAACTCGTACGAAATAGACTATTGTGCCCGATAAAAATATTTCCCGGTATCACAGACCGGATGATATTACCTTCGGCACTTGCAGATTATCGGAATTTCGCGGCAAATGCTGGTGCCGCGCAATAACACTTCTGTACTCCGTCGGTGTTTCAATATATGTAGTCAGCGGTATACTGCGACAAGTCAGGCAATGCGACTTTCGTTGCACGTAGCAAACAAAACGGAAAACGTCTTGATATTGTCTCATGGATATAATATTCTTTTTTTAAATTAATTTATTCGAACAATTTGACCATACATTATTGCTTTATTGCTTTTCTATAATTTTTTACGAATATAGAGAGATATAAACGAGAAATGTTTATTAAGTTTCCAGTCTTTGACTTGACAAGTAAATTATTATACACATATAAATAATTTTATGAAATAATAAATGTAGAAAATATAAGAGCAGACAAATATATATAATAAATGAAAGCAATTAAAATTTAAAATATTCGAGTACATTACGGTGAAATTTGTTTAAGACTCTTAATTGTCGTCAAATTTTGAGTAGTTGACGTATCTATTTAGTGTTTCATGAGGCAAACGTCACTGACAAACCATGGAACATTTAGCGTCGCGCATAGAATTTTTCTTCAGAAGACCTGTCATTTATTAATGCGAGATTTAGCTGTTGCAAGGGGTTGCGAGATAACGGAGGTGGCTCGTTTGATTTACGTTCTCACGCGCTTTCCTCGTCCGTCTTTCTACTTCCTCCTTCTTTTTCTCCTCCTATCTGTTTCTTCCATTAAGCTTCTCTTTTACTTTCTTTTCTTTTTTCTTTTTTTTAATCAAAAGCTGCCGTTACCGCGAGACTAGGAATTTCAACAAAAACTCAATCGATGCGAAACGATCGTGTGCGGAGAGAATTCGTTTCTTTTGGTTTTTCGAACGGATTTCGGGATTCGCGCGAAATGCCAAAACGGCAGAAATTCGCCCTGGCGAAATCGTCGAACCCGTGCGTTAACGCTCGAAATCCCTCGACGAATTCCGTGCGCGAAAGTGGGTCGAGATATAATTTTATGAACGCGGCGGAGCGACGGGAGTGATAAACGGAATGTAGGTCGGACGCGATCGGTCGCGCGTTCGTTGACGATCATTTTCCCGGTTATGTCGTGGAAAAATAATTCGAGCCATCGAGATGGTGAAGCTGCGATCTAAATCCCGCCACAAAAATTGGGAATGTCCCTCGTGTAATGTGCATTATGACATCTCATTTATTTAGATATTCCAGATGGGGTGTAGCCGTAGGGAAATTTTAACGTACAAGCTGGAGGTATAAGCAGGAATTAGCGAGTATTATTTCATCAGTACACCAAGACCATTTTATATGATATCCGATAACCTTTAACTAATGATATATGCGTTAAATTTAAAAAATTTTTTATTTCGAAAGAACTGAAATTACTTGACATATAATCTGCATATCCAATATTAATATATATCGATAATATATATATATATACAATAAGAAATCACTTCAGATTATATCTCAAGCATCGTAATTTAATAGACTATTATTATGTTATTATACTGGGAATTATGTTATATATATATATATATTATGGCTATTATGGAATTAGTTTACAAATTTTGGTCCGTGGTTTACCGCTCTGGTATTCCATGCTGATATTATTATTTCCTCTCCAAGGAAACTTTGTATTTATACAAAAAAAGCTGTAAACATTATAATGCAATACTTGCATTATGCAACATGCGAAATTTACAGCAAAATTATAAACTGAACTGTCGTCCGTGGTTGTTTCACCGGCTCGCATCTTGGCCGGAAGTCTGCGGTATTATTTTTCCAACATGTCGCATGTAATTCCATCCGTGGTCGTAAAACGGAAGCTCTTTCGGAAGCGTATATGTACACGCGGGCATTTTTTTGCGAACGCGATATTTCTCCGTTCGCCGAAAAAAGGTAAATCCGCAGCGGAGCGTACAATGTAAATGTTGACTCACTTTCCCAAATTCGCTGAGGCCCGGCGTGGAGTCCTGAGTGTTGTTCGTCTCGCCAACAGAACAGACTGCCCTGCCAAGAAAATGTCTGTTAGAATGTCGGTTTGCATCTCTTGCCGCGAAAATCCAGTGGTTGCATTGCGTGCTTGCGTTTGCTTTCTCTCCCTTCGGACGAATTTCGGACGAGCTTGGAGGGAATATTTTCTAAAGTATCAGGTTAGCTGTAGGTACATATTTACTATGCGGATATATTTGTCATGATCAACTAAAATAAAAAATTAAAAAATTGCAGTATACGACAGTAAAAATGCGGTATGCCGGTAAAAAAATGGATACAGTGATAAATTGGTAGAAATATATATTTGATTAGAAAAATAAATTGTATTTTATTTTTCTTTTCGAATTTCTTACAAAAGTATGTGTATAGATTAATAAAGGACATATAATGTGTTTCTTTAAAAAATTTATGTCCGCAGCTCGATGTGAGGATGACGATATTAAATTTTAAAATCCCGTATTACTTTGACAGTATATGAAGTATTTTTCATTTAATGTAAAATTTTAGCGTTTTAGTGCTTTATTTTTTTTTTTTTTGCATAGGATATTAATATTGATTTTAGTTGCTAATTCTGAATGCTTAATGCATTATTCTTTTTACATATTGATTATTTGCATTGTTTATTTCTATAATCATCTATGGCACTTAAACTCTTCTGTTTTGCATTATCACACAAGCGATATTGAAATTTAAAAATACCGAAATTCTAAATTAAACTTTTACATTTTTAATTCTGATTGGTGAGGACTTTTAAAGAATTTTTAAATAATATTTGTTTGGAAGGTGTATTTCAAAATTGCAAATGTAAAGTGATTAATCTACAAAATATTATTTGATCATTTTGAAATGTAATTTTGACAACAGATTTTTGTTGAATATAAATTTGATGTTCTATTAATAAAAATTCTGTGAGAGATATGTGTGTATTTAATTTTTTATAGCTCTCTCTTATTCATCTTTCTTGATAAATATCTTAGTAATATTTTACACAGTAAATTTCTCTTAAAGTAAATACCGTTTATAATTAATTGAGATGTAGTATCTTGTTATTTATTTACTCTTGATGCTTATTTTTCATTATTAAACATCTGTGCAACTCTAATTTTTGTGAAGCAAAGTACGCTTTTAAATTCATCAAAGAAGCTATTAAGATATTTTCCGATTACGGGCAGAATATGTATATTTTACGTTATATCTGTTCGTTGATGAATGATAAAATGCACACCAGAATAAAAGTTTGAACGTTAAAAAACAAGAGATATGAAGGCGTGAACGGTATTGAGAATCCACAGTCGAATTCTCCACAGTCGATTCTCTTTCCCAGACGACGTGGAAACGCCAGAGATGATTCGGCATCATCTAGAACTGTAGAAAATTCAATCGGGTCGACAATCTCGCGTCTCCGGGGAGAAAGAGGTAGGGCACGCGACTGAAACGAAAGGAGACGATAGAAGAAGAGAGAAAATAGGGTCAAAGGCTAACATTAAGCCCCGGGTACACGTCCGAAAGCAATTCGGATATTGTTCCAATAAAAGCGCGCTTTTCCTCATGGATGCCGGAAATCTCAGGCCGCAGAAATGAAACCGCATTTTTACGACGAGTTTTCTTCGAATGTTCTCTCTATATTGTAGGCTGCACTCTCATAGGTGAACACTCTTCTAAATGGCTCTAAATTATTTGTTCCCTTTGTTTGTATTCGTGTAGCTACTGTTATTATGTGTATTTGATTCTTGTTGAGAGAATTATACGTCATTATTTAGTATGAGGTTTTTTTTGCTGTTGGATATTCTTGAGTATAGAGAGATTTTCTTTAAAGAAATTACAAGGAGAGATAAATTGTAAAAAATCAACTTTTTCAATTTTTAATGAGTTATTATGCGATTTTACATTTTATAATTTCGATATCTGTGCTATTTACTTAGTAATACATTTATTTAATTGTTTCTTTCCCAATTTGGGAGAACTTGATCTGATGCCTAGAAAAGTTTCTTGCCGTGTATGCCGTGAAACGACATCGGCGTAAATTAGAGGGGTCAGAAGAGAAAAATATGTACTATCTGAGAAGAGATTTGCACGGAAGAGCGGGGGGAGGACGACGTGACTTCGATTCTTATTTACTGCGGTAAGCGTCGCGGCGTCGAGGGAGACATAAAGCAGGCGAGGTTCGGAAAGAGCACAGCGAACCAGGTCGGTGCCCATTGTCGTATAATACCTCGACCTTAAAGCAGTGTTTGAGTTAGTGATATCGACGGTCACCGTTGTAATTTACATCCCGAAGCGTCTAGCGGCGTTCTTCAAATTGTAAATCTTATTTCGCACGACAGGACATATGGAGGTAGATGATTACGGGATTCGAGCAGGATTTCCCTCGTTCTTGTTAGCAATGCAGTATGTATTTGATGGGTATCGAAAGAACGCGATTGACGTTTTTTCAAATTCGACTCATAAAAGAAATACATTGGAAAAATAAAAGTTGAAAATATAAAAAAGATACTACAACTGCATTGCAAGAAACATATTTTTGAATTTAGCTAATAATAGTTTCTCAGCTTTGTAAGAAAAAAAAACAATGTTCCAAATTTTTGATTATTTTGAATTTTCCAATTATGAATTCAATGATTGCTAAAATAGGTAACGGTTTTGTGAAGTTTAAAAAGATGGAAAAGTTTGCCGGAGAAATTATTTCAACTGGCGACGAATAAAATTTCCTTTCGACAGATTTGTAAGTGGCCGTGGCTTCGTGTTAATTAAACGAGCGTGGAATCACATGGGAGTCGAATGTCGCTGTTTCGCGCGCGTGTAGTTCTGTTTTATGGCTCGCGTAACTTGCAACTCGCAAATAACGGATTTTCCGCGGAAACGTTACTCGTCGCGGGTCACGTGGCTTCGGATCGAACGATGCATAAAAGCGGGGACTTTATTTACAACTCCACGCGGCACTCGGCATCAGGGGATGCATAAACCTCGGGTTAAGGATCGATGTTTGAGGTGGAGGAAGAAAAGCTCTTCTGTATTCCGACATTGTTTCTCTCGCAGCCTCGGTCGATCCAGAAAAGCTGAGCGAGTATGTATAATAATAAATTTCGCAACTTTATATTTTTAAGTTCTGGTCATACCACGAAAACCAAATAATTTTTTTATCTCGTTTCGACGTATTGCAAAAAAGGATTAGTGTATGATGTTTTAAAATCGTAATGTACAATTGAAGACGGGACTCGTGGGTTTACTTTTTCCACGTTTTATTAGGTAACGTTAACATACTAAAAAAATTCACGCAAGTTTATTGAAGTGTTAATTAAATGTCCAAATTATAAAGTTGGATAAGTTTATTTTGAGTTCCTTCTGAAGGCCAATTCACTATATAAATCTTTAGAGAAAAAATAAATGATATCGTAGATCGAAGCGAACAATGTCAGATGAAGCCAATGTCAAATTAAATTAAAAATCAAAGCGAGAACAATTCAAAGAAATGTCTTTATAGTAGCGGATTATGGAAACGAAATTGAGAAAGTTGACTTCTGTACAATGAGGTGGATCTTTTTGATAAAAGGTGCTATTCTTCTCTCTTTCTCTTCACGAAACAAAGCTCTTCTTTCATTGTAAGTTTCTTTTTTGGGTGCGCCAGGAAATAAGCGGCGGCTTTGGGGGTGCTTCCGAAATTACTGAAAAGAACTTCCAAGCGTCCAGATTTCAGGTTACTTCGGTTCTCGGTTAAGCCGATCAACCGTGGAATTGGTTTGCCTCTAAGAGTGGATCGTGATACGAAGCACAACGAGTCTTGAGCAAAAAAAAACCGGATGCTCGATGAACGAGTGGCTTGTACACGGGGAAACTTCTTGAGCGCGTGGTAAGAGGAAACGCGACAAGAACGATACCGAAAAAACGAAACACCCTGCAGAATCTTGATCTCGTGCATGAGAGAGTGCAACCTTCCTAACTTTAATGAACCATACATCGCTGTGAGCAACATAGTTTGGAAAATCACTCTAAAATGCATTTCATAATAAATCAATATTTTAACGGTTAATAAATTTTTTTATGAAATTATTTTTTTGACTAAATTTATGCGATAAATCTTTATACATATATGGTTGTGAGATTGTTTTAGAATAACATAACTCAAAAGATTATTCAGTTTCTTTTTTGTTTTAATTTAAAAATATTATAAAATGGTTAGCTTTTTAGCACATTGTTAGCTTTTTATTATTACTTCAGTTTTGATAAATAGAGTTATTTTTTGGTAGGAAAATAATTTTGTTTGTCGAGAGGTAAATTCCATTATCATAATGAAGCCTCACACTTAATATTTTATTTTTTTGTCCCATAATCATATGTCCGTTGGTTCTTGTTGAACTTTAAATTGCGATAAGTGAATTATTCAAGCAAGTTTCCAGTATACTCGTAATTCATACTCACCAGGAAGTGTCGCACGCATGTGTCAGAGTAAGATATCGCGCCCCCAGACCATAAAACGTCCTGAGAACACCCAAAGAGTTCCCTAGGGAATGACCGCCTTCCACTCCGATTAGACTTGCGATTTTGCCTTCTCTATGCGCCTCGATGAGACCTACACACATGTCATAAATCCTTAGCAATGATTTATTACTTTTGTATTTTTTTAGTGTTACAATTTACACCAAATTTATATTATTGACGATAGATAGTGAGCACATTTTTAAAAGAAAAGCTATTTGATGAATAACATATTACTGCCATTATTCTTCTCTTCTCTTGTTATCTTTTTTTCTCTCTCTCTCTTTCTCATGAATTATAATAGTCGTTTAAAAAATTTTTTCTGATTAAATCATAAAATATACATATATATTGTTTAATAAGAATTCATATAAAGAAATTAATTTTGTTAATAATATTTTACAATAACTTTAATATTGCGTATATTATAGTCTTATTATTGTTGCGCGGTGTTACTTTATATTCTTTATCTTACATAATTATCTCAGAGTCGTAAGAAGTTTATCACGTTTTCTAACAATTTAACATCATAAACACACTAAAAACTGTAGCAGTGCTATTCATGATGAACTTGCGAAACTGAGAATATTTGAACCTCGGGAAACACCTAAGTACACGAGTTATCCTCTCGCGGAACTTCAAATCATCTTCGGTGAACTTTGCTCTCGGCCGAATTACGCTCCTTCTGTGAATCAGCGAAGTTTCGTCCATTTTTTCGTCGTGTCTTCGTCGACGCGAGTTTTACAATTCTCCCTTTTTTTCCCGGGCAAGATTAAAGTGACACTTTATGAAATTAAGCGGGGCTCCGAGATCGAGGAATTATGGTGCTCATATATTATTTACGACCTTCGCCAGGGTGAAGAGATCGGATGAAATCTCGGGAAATCGGTCGCTTCGAGCGGGTTGAGAGTGAATGAAAAGATCGGTAAAAATCGGCTTTTAGATCCGCTTTCGGAAGTACTTTCAAGAGTGCTGTCGATCGGCTCATTGAAACTTTTAGACTGCATCGAGACGGCGGCGGGGTATTAAGCTGGCTGATTTATCGTACTTTACATCAAATATGTCGATCCGTGTGAGTTATTTATTTAACTACATATCCTGGATTTAAAGTCCGTTTTGCTGTGGTATCAACAGTATGTATATATACATATATCCAGTGTATATCTGTAACTCGAGGATTAATGACAGATTCGTCGGACTCGTAAACTTTTATCGTCCTGTTGCTTTCCATTCGTTCGGCAATAAAAGTTCTTACGCTGTACTTCTCATTATTAAATTCGCGTTGTTTAATATTCTATTTATTTTTTTGCACAGCCATGTGCAAAGTGGATTATTGCTACTGATACATTGATTAATATAATTGTGATATTAGATTTGCGGATCGCGATAGTTGGATAAACTTTTAACTTCAAGAATATGGGATAATTCATTAAAATTAGTTTTGATTTTCATCTTTTATTTTATCGTAATATGCTTTGTTTTATGACAATTAGTACATTTATATATTTTTTTATCTTTATTATTGAAAATATCTGTTATATAATATTCAGTCGCAGTGTTTGCCAATTAATATAATGGGATATTTGGTGCATAAAAATGATGAATATGTGATAAAAACAAAATTGAATAATTTTAAAGAATATCTATGGAATAAATTATTGTGTTAATCTGAACTTTTTATGCGCTTGCTTGATTTACGCTTTTATCATACAAGATCATGCTAAGCTTAAGCATTTTACAACATTTAATAGGATTTAATACCTTTTATCTCGATACAAGAAAGCCGTATGCTATCTTTTGAGAAACGCGCCACTGATCTCGACAATTAAAAAGCTGGTAATCTCCTTTTGTAACTGTTCTCCGCCTTTGTTGCTTTGAACCGGAGTAGCTTCGGAAGCAGCTTGCTTCTCCCGAAAAATAAAACGAATTTAAATGAATACTCTTCTTTGCTTTAATGAGAATTTCGTTTTTCTTATTATTTGCTGTATTTCGCGGTGAGTCTTTTCCGCGTGCGGTATATAATAACACATAGGAGTTTTGCGAATCAAACAATTTATGTTTAAGAAATGTTAAAATATAATATGAAGAAGGAAAGAGTTCTTACTAAACAAAAATTTAATATTCAATTTTATTTAACATAATTGTATAATTATTTTGCATTGATTATTGGTATTTTTGCCAATTAATTAATTTATTATTAACAACAATTTTACTTTTTGATCCGATTTTTAATCGTATTCGATAGTGCGTTTCTCGCCAACTTTTTAATGATGTGTTTTTTGCGTTAGTATATTTTTTTATATATAGAGAAATTATAGTTTGTGCCTGTTCTTGTTAGTTATTAATTAATAGCACTTTTTCTTGTATCGATTTTGCAAAATTTAGTGGTGCAGTGAATATCCGAATTGCGGTTTTGACTAGCCAGACGCCATTGTGAGGCAGGTTTGCATGCACGAGCCGCTGGCTTTTCCACCTTTTGCCTTCTTCGTGCCGCGACCTCCTTTCCACTTCCCACTTGGCGAAGTTTCTCGAGCTTATGAAAATGGCTGACAGCTTTCCGGACCGGGTTACTCGCGGTAAGTTCCATTGCGAGACTTTCGTTGCGAGGCAGTGCCAGTCCCATATTTCTTCGCTCGCCCTTCATTCCCCTTCCATATTTCAATGATGTGCGTAACTTGATTTCGAGCACACAATACATCAAATCGACTATTCATTTGCACAGGTGTTCAAATTCAGTTGCAGAAGGGTGAGATTTTTGTTCACCGAGAAATTAATTAAAGAACACGCTGCCTAGACTTTTTACCTTTTAACATTAAATATTTTAATTAAGTTTTCTGAAGCCGATTAATTTTTGGTGTTAAACGATTTTGTAAATGAGTATTTTATAAAAATTTTAATAATGAAAAGGTAATTATGTATTCGTTTGAAAAAGCTTATGTTTTTCAGTACTCGGTGTATAGTGCTCAGACGTAATTATTTTTTTGGATCGGTTATTTATGGAACATTTGCAGAATCTTGCGCAGAGTGTTATATTCTTATCCTCTTCTCGCGCGCGCGACCTCGATTCGATTTCAACGAGCTTATGAAAATGGCAGTCGGGTTTCCGAGGCGAGTTACTTGTCGCAAAAAGTTTCACAAGCTTTCACGTGTATCTTTCTCGCTACCCTCTTCTACTTGGCATTTTCTTTTCTTTCAGCTTGTGTGCGCAGTTTGTTCCTTACTTTAGTGCTGGTGGTGCCTTGGCGCCCTTTTTTCTCTTTTTTTTCCAATATATATCATAAAAGTAGCTATTGCATATTGATCAAATTTATTCTCCATTAGTCGATTTTACCAACATTCCACAACTTTTCGTTGATAGACGATAGATTGGTCCATCAATTTTGAACGGCAAATCAGTTTTCGTTAAAAATATAGATTTAACAGCGCTAATGGACGTTAGCGAAACAAAAAACTTTGCATTCGACATTTTGCATTTTTTTTTAACCTTTTGTTGCATTGATAAACTTTTGACACTGATTTCTAACAAGTTTTTTTTTTTCAAAAATTAAGACGATTTATGGTGATTATTGCGCTGAACAGTATTGATAATGTGGAAATAATACATTATTTAATATCAGCTTGTCAAGATTATCTTGAACCGATAAGGAATAATGATCTTTCAAAGATCCGACAAGCACTCTATCTTGAACAGGGCTCTTTTAATTACCTCGTCACATCGAACACTGTGAAGTCTCGGATCTCTGTTGTCTCATGAATCAGTAAGAACGTTTGCGATTATGGCGCGCCTGATAGCTTAATACTTTTGTCCACTGACGATAAATCTTCCACAACACGAAGTTATGCTATCGAATCGAATCCAATAACGACTTTCCTCTTCAACTTTGGAGAAGTCGAGCAATTAATAGCGGTCCTTTATCCTCTCGAGTCGTCCCGATGAGAAACTTTCTCTGAGACCGCCCGCTCTCATATCTATTGATACCGGTGGTTAACGTGTTACATTTAATAACGTAATACGACGGTCACGAGAATTCTTTTTCATTGACAATAGGTTCTCCTCGAGTAAACTGAATTGTTGGAAGACATAACGAGAATTTATTTTTTTAGTTTAATACTTCAGAAATCAAATCTATATGCGTTTTAGCATTGTGCTTCTGTTTAATCGGTTTCTCATTTTTTACATCTATTTAATTAATGCATATCGCATTGTCCCCAAATAATATTATTAATATTTTGTGATAATTACGACAATAGATTATAGAAGTGTTGGATATTAGTCTTAATATATAATATGCACTTACCTTTGACGGAGGTAACCAGGGTTAAGTGTTGAGCATTCATTTCGGCGAGTCGACGAATTACATCGATCTGTTCCAACGATAGTTGAACTGCGTTTAACTGAGCGGCACCGCAAGGAACGTAGGCGGACCAAAACTGTAAAAAAAAACGTATTGTATTATTAGATTATTCGAAAATGACCGATTACTATTCTCGAACATTTTCTGAACAATTATTAAAAACATCACAAGAACATATTAGATCTTAAATCTGTAAAACAACATTTGGCTTAATTTTTTTTTATAAACACATGGCTGATTGATCCAAAATATTTTTTGGAGTGACGGAAAAGGCAAAAGAGAGAAAAGACGAGCAATTGCAGAGAATAGAACAGATAATTTGTAACTAAAATATCGATATAAATTAGTTAAATCAAATATTACAGATTTTACAAATATTTAAGAAGAAAAAACGTTTTTAATGGAGGAAATATATGTGCGTGAAAACATATATTCGTGTTGGACATTTTAACAGCCATCGTAAAGCATCGCGTTAGAGAATTCTAAACGAAGGATTACTAAGTGCGCGTATATTCGCGTGACTCTGATATCACGTGATTTCGTATTAGAGTGTCGTAATACAGTCACGTCCGTAATTGTTTGCAACGCTTTGCGATTGCCCCTGCGCGATAAGTGTTTGATTAACACTTTATGTTAAACAATCCGGACTTTATTTTCGCACCGTGTACATGTTTAATAACGCGAAAAAGATCCTCCCACGAGGTATTTTGTCAACAAGAGAAATTCCATATTCTATTTTCCAATATTCCATTAAATATTGATACGATTCTACTTATGTTTGGCACATACTACGTTTGTCCATTACGATAATATAATATTCGAATCGGAAATCTCACATGTTTGGCATGTTAAATTATTATAATTAGTTAGGAATAGAAAATCTATCTAATAGTCATTGAGCAGTTTTTTTTAGAATTTTCTATTTATAGTGAAAGAAGAACATATATGTAAAAATTTAGATTTAGAATGTTAAGAAAAAAATAGTAGTTTGCTAAAATTAAAATATTTAGATATGCGAGCTCTCATTTTCTTTGGCGATTAAATAGCCGTGAGATATATTTTTCGAGATCCGATCTCGCCGAAGTTATAATGTATCGGCTTTAATATTTGCTTACTGTAATATGGTGATCTACATAACCCGAGTCCTTCATCTATCCGGCGTAGACGCCGAGACGTCGAGTTAAATGCTCGCGTTCAGCGAACGCTTGGTGTTCAGCGAACGTTGAATTCCCTGGTTCGGCCAAGCATCCGACGTGCGACGTCGGGTAATCGAACGTCAATATCGTCCCGTGTTGACGGGGGAAGGCGCGCAGCACGCAGCGCAGCTAGTTGCGGGTGTACAGCATTCGGCCCGAATTTCACCGCGCTCTCTCGGCTTTGAGAGAGCTAGCGTTACCAATTACTCGGCGGTCTAATTAGCGCCGAGTTGCCGCGCGCTGGCGTAAATATTGAATTTCGGTTCCGGGTGTAGTCTAACGCGATTGGCATCCTCGATTCTCGCGCGTTGCGCGGCCCTTTCCCGACGTCAACGTTATTATACTAATCGCATGACGACATGGATGGGGAAACGCGTCGCGAGAGGCGGAAAGGGAAGGACGTAGATGGAGACAGATACGGACGGGAGAAGAAAAGCAGGGAAGACATGTGACGAACAGTGGCGGAAGTGTCATGCAACTGAAACAAATTCTCTTTTGAAATAAAAGGAAAATCGAGACACAGAAAAATACAGTCTCAATGCGCGCAGCGTTTGACGGGCGACTTTTTGATGTTTGCATCCGATGTGGATGCTATAATCGTGTTCCACGTGTATTTCTGCTTCAATTGCGAATAGAGCTGCATTTAGCTGTATTTTTTGACTCCCACATTTTAATTGGTATTATATTTAATCTGCTATTAACGGGTGACTGGTCTGGAACGCTCTATATAATATTGCATACATTATTGCATATTATAGTATATGTGTATTACATAATTTCCTTTTTGATGAATTGAAAATTGTCATGAATACTCGACGTTCGTGGGATCCAAGAACCTAAATGCGTATGATTTATTGCTCTCACGGCTACGTGAATCCAAATAATCCACAGTATTTTGCGCGGTAATTTACACGAGTGCGGATGCGCGTGACGCGTGTGTAGACATCTTTCCGGTACATCGCGCGGCAGATGCGCGCGATAGAGGGTTATTCGTCACGGCGAAATAGACGCACGGGGATGCTAATAATCTGATGCCGCTAACTGATGGAGTTAGCGTCGCGAATACAGCGAACGGATCGGATCTGACGTTTCCTATCTTCCGGATAACTCTACCCCCACTGCGTCCTGCGCGGACGATCGCATAGCGAATCGCAGTTAATAATGATATCGCGGAGGTGCGCCAGATAAAGCCGTCCGACCGGAAAGCTACGTGCCTTCTTGCAGAAGGAAGGCAGATAACACTGACGAGGGGGGTTCAAAACATGCGACGGCTGCCAGCGGGATATCCGCTCGATAGCGGCGCAACGTTTCGAGAAATCCGGGGCGGAAACGTATTTATCGAAGAAAGCGTATCTTGAGAGCGTCAGCGCGAATCGGATGAAGGATAAACAACGCGGATGCGGATTAAGTAGAAGTTGCTTCGTCGTTGCGCCGTGGAATAACGTCAAATCTTGCAGACGTAATTGCGCCAATAAACGCCAGGATGCTTGAATTTATGGTCGTAGCTGGAAAGAACGCAACGGTGTATTTGCATCTCCGAGCGTTTCTCGTGACGTTGCGCTGGCTGCTGACATAAAGAAGTCAACTAAGTGTGGAATGTCATATTACTTATGAAAATTTTCCTACAAGTCGTATGAAAATATCTTTGTTTCAAATGAATGAAATGTTTCGCAGACTTATGTCTTCAGCTTCAGATTTTACATCAAATATTTAACCTAGAATCGCTAATTTACATATGTTTCTAGTGAAATTTACTAAAACTTGGCAAATAATCATTCCGCGTGGAGAAAATTACAATACATATTCTCTTTGCTAAGGCGAAGTCTGCTAAGGCGCGATGTGTGGAAGAGCTCTCGAAAACAAAGGTTTCGATGCGTTTCGCGCGTAAGTGCACTCACAACCCATGAGAGTTCTCTCGTTTCGTATTCTCTCGAAACAGCCTTTTCCTTACAAGAAAATCGTTTTCTTGCGCCCGAAACGGCTTGCGTCAACGGCCGTGCTTCCGTGTTTCGTGCTGAGGGGGAGCTCGTAAAGAGACAGGTGGTAAGGGTGTACGGTATGGGGTAAACAAGAGCGAAATAGGTTTCCTAGTCCAGCGCGGCCGACTTTGTGGATGAAGCTCTCGACTCGCTGATTATCTTTTATCGTGGTTCTCTCGCTGCAAACTTCGGCAATCTTTTCGCGGTCACGGTGCTTTCTCCGCGTTTTCGCTGGAAGCTAAGGGGCGATGGGGGCGCGACGAAAGACGTGGTAAGGGGATGGGTGGCGTGTAGGAACTTGGTTTTCGTCCTGTGCGCGCCCCAACGAACTGAGAAGAAATGGAATTTCGTCGCGCTCCCGCTGCGAGGAATTTGTTCGAAAACAGGATTGCCATTGTTAAGGATATCTACGTACCTACATAAAGTCCACTTCGCGCGCGCCCGCCAAAGTTTGAGTGGCTCGACCCGAAAAACTGGTTTACTGCCGCTACGAATGCGCCCCTACACAGTCGCCCATGCGAATTACGTGGCATTTCCTTGTTCCGTTACGTCGCTTTTATCGTCGTACTTTTTGCACGGCAGCTCGAAAGGCGGAGGGGCGAGACGGGTGCACGTTTCTTTTTTGTTCTAATACGATCTTTACGCGCATTTCGATTCAAACAGAATAAAATTGCAACGACTACTAACGTTTGTTTCAAAAACATTTTATTTCGCAATTTATAATTTTAAACTGGATGTCATAGGATAGATAAACAATAACGTTATAGGCATTAGGAACTGTATTATTATATTACTTCATGAATTTCATAAAGCATGTTGCGGTTGATTTTGAATTAAAATTCTATGAAGATAGTTACACATTTCCATTATCGAGTCGAGAAAACATTGCAATAATAATAATGTTACGTTATATTCAATGTGTTATTTATTATGTCACTGCGCTACCATATTGTTGCATGGCTATTTAATTGTAGATTGCTAAACAATGCTTATCGATAATTCCGGTGCAGTTTCGAATGGGCGACACGTTTTCACTCATATATCGATACACTCTATATTACACTACTGTAAATAAAATTTATATTAATTGATAATGATTATATTGCATTGTATTTTGTTTATTTTCCGGCTAAAACCAATTCTTTGGTATTATCGGTAAAACTATAGAGTCAATAGATTGGTTAGATATACTTGAAAATTGCATATGCAATATATACTTGAGCCCAAATATAATTAATTTTCATTAATTAATCGATGTGAGCGGGCGATTTAGTGAATCGTACTGAATTCAAAATACCTCGCCGGTTATGAATTGAAATGATAATCGGTAATCGTTAATACCTCACATATTATTAATAATATGCCATATAAGCCATGTTATGTATATATTTAATTGTATTAATCACAACACGGTCTGTGTAAGATTTATTCATTCATTATTCCTATTAACGTTGATGGGAAATCACTACGTCGTGTCAATATCCAAAGGTTAATTATAAATTTGTAATAATGTGTTACTTAAGACACATTTTTGCATTTTACTATGTAAACATTCGTATTTTCTATTATTTTAATGTGTTTTTAAAGAGATAAATTTATAGACAAAGTTTACATATTTCTCCTGATATATATATATATATATATATATATATGTATATATAAACATTATTTTTATAAAATAGATATTCTAACAAAATTGCATAAAATTAGACCTTGAAGATTTTTGATACGTAATTTTTATCACATTTTCTTTAGACTCTTTATTATAAAATAATTCTTGTTCTACTATTCTAGTTTTGTGAAGTTTGAGACAAAAATTACTGATTTGTCAACCAGTAAACAGCAACTTTTGTTCTTCGTAGATCAATCATGTCTCATCAAAACGTAGTTAGTGAAATTTT